AGGGGCAAAAGCACAAGGAAACAAAGGGGATCCGAATCGGAACAAAGACATCCGAACGGGGACAAAGGGAAGACAGAAGCGGAGCGGTACCAAAGGTCATAAGGCCAAACCTGTGATACTTCCGAAAGGAGGTAGGGAGGGTGAGGCCCAGAGGGGCAGGAGGATGATGGGAAGTGGGGACGATGACTAACTGGCTAGAATGGGAAGAAGCAGCAGTCCAAATAGGGATGAGGGGAAAATGCGAGAGATACATTACAAGCGGCGAAAGTGCTGAAGGTGATCCGCGAAGCTCGGAGGTTGCGGAGCTTACGGAGGTTACGGAGGCGGGGTTGAAAGTCCAAGGAATATTGGCAATGGTGTTTACGTAGTATGAGGTCACCAATGCAATGGACTAAGACCGAGGTGGAGTCAAAGTCCAAGGTAGGGGCTATGATGGAGGCTCAGAGCAAAGGTACGAGCAGTGCCCGAGTACAAAGTATGGGACAGCGGTGGAAGGTCATAACTTGGTAGGAGGTCGGCGGAAGAGTACCAGAGGGAGGAGAGAGGAGAAAGGGAAGAGGGAAGGAGTGGCGGGAAGGAGAGTTGTCAGGTCCAAGGGTGAGTATCAGAGCGGACAGGAGAAGCGTAGGAGGATGACGGAAGGGTGGAGGTGTTGTGAGGGAGGAGCGGAGGTGTAGGAGGAGTAGGAGGAGGGTGGCGAGAGGGGCGGTGTTTGGTCCGAGGTGAGTATCAGAGCAGATGGAGATAGGGGAGGAGAGGGAAGGAGTAGAGGTGGCATGGGAGGTAGAAGGAGGTGTGTTGCCAGGACCGAAGGTGAGTATCGGAACAGGCAGCGGTAGGGTAGGACTCCGGAGGTGAAGAAGGAGGAGGTCCGGAAGTCGGGTCGGGATTGGGTATGCACGGATATGACAGAGACCCAGTCAATCAACGGATTGTGCCAGGTGAGCCAGTCATGTCCTAGGACGATAGTACAAGAGCCATCCAACGATGTGACATAGCATGTCATCGGAGTAACCTCACCAGTGACAAATCGGATGGGCAGATTGACGGCTTGGGTAATCATGGAGTTCATGGTACCGTCAAATAATCGGAGTTGCAGAGGCATGACAGGGTACATGGAGATGTGGTGTTTATTGACAAAGGATGTATCTACAAATGTGTCAGAAGATCCTGAGTCAATAAGAGCAGAGAATTTTCCAGAGGGGAGAGAAGAAGGAAAAGACATATTTTTGCGGGGTTCAGACCCCCTGGAAGAAGGAAACAGAGCAGAGCCAGGAGCATTCTCCCTTGAAGCAGAAAGCAGATCAGAGCTGGGAGCACACTCCCTTGAAGTTGGAAATCGACCATCATCAGAACAAGGAGAAAAAGAGATCAGAACAGAAAGAGAATGAAGAGTGGATAGTCCAGACATGTTCAAGCACAGGACTCTAGATGTACGAGGAGGGTCAGTGTGACCAACCGGTCGTACAGGGCCCAGAGGGTCACTATCTAGTTTTTTTCCTCGTCCGAATCCACCACAGAATCCGCAACATCCTCAGCCTGGGCTGCTCTAGCTTTGGCTGCATGAGAGGAGGACTTAGAACACTCTTTGGCCACATGCCCAGAGCGCCCACAGAAGAGGCAGAGGTCGTTCTTGAAGTGACACTGGCATTCTTCTTTGGTGAGCTTGCCACTCTTGTCAAGCTTCGAGGACAGATCAGAGTTGGGTTGCTTTCCCTTGGACTTTTTAGGGTCCTTGGTAGAGCGATCAGTGGAGGTGGAAGGGTCGGACGTGGAGTCAGGAGGGTTGGAGGACTTAGAGTACTTCAGGTTCTTGCCCAATTTCGTGTTCTGCTTGGAGGAGTCAGGTGAGGTAGCTCAATCTCTCGGACGGTGTGACAACTCACCCTTGCGCTCTCAGTATCATCCATCGATTGGGCAAGAGAGCGCATGTCATGCAGTGAGCATGGCTTGCTTACCATAATGAGTGATCTCATCCTTGATCCTATCCGGCAACCCATTGTAGAAATGGTGCCTCAAGGCAACCTCAGGTAACTGTGAAGCATTGTGATTAAACTCATCAACATACTTGGCAATCCTGTGATTATCTGACATAGTCAGAGTACTCAGACGATGCTCAGCATCACCAAAGGGGTTGTGCAGGCCTGTCAGGGGACGGACCCTGGGTCCCCATGACCCCTCTCTATGGCCCACAGGCTAACCTGTAACAGCAGCCCATCTCAGGGCATAGCACTACTGTGGGTAAGAAAGTGAGAAGAAGGTTAACTTCTCACTTTCCCACAGTGGCCCAATATGGCGAAAACTTCCGGGGATACCCGGAAGTCACATGAAGAGTGGGAACCGGGCCTGGAGCATGCGGCGTGCGCGGGGCAGAGCACACATGCAGGTCCGGGCTAGTCAGGGTGTGTGCCCTGACAGGGCTGAAGTTCTCTTCGAGTTCTCGGACGAAGAGTTCATAGTCATCAATCCAATGTGGACGGTGATGCAGGTTACCATGAAGAAGTTCAGGCTCGAACCAACTCAGAGCAATCCCCTTGAGGAATGACATGGCATAGATGACTTTGGTACACTCATTGACAAACGCTTGGGGGCAGTTCTGGAAGTTGAGTTCACACTGAACAAGGAAGGTACAGAGTTTCTGTGGGTCAGTACCATCAAATTGGTCAGGCTCACGAAGCTTTGTCCTATGGCTGGGGTCTGAGGGTTGACGAGTGGCAGTGGTTGAGCAGGCCAGGGCAGCAATAGCGTCCGTCAACTGGGCCAACACACGGCTACCAGGGTCATCTGGCAGCTGATCCTCAGGCGGATCATCACCACCATCACCGTCACCACCACCGTTACCACGGTTGGGTGGGGCATCTGGTGGGTCCAGAGGATTAGCAGGATCAGGACATGGGGTAGGGTTACGGGAAGCTTCGGAATCATGGTCATCAGCTTGGCTATCTGGATCGACATCTCTCTCAACAGCAGCTGCCTCATCATGGTCTTGGAATATGGAACGATGAAATCGATGGGAGGGTGCTGGAGTGGAGGAGGAGGTAGGGTTATCACAGTCAGCTGTAAAGCTTTGGAATGGCAGACGTTCAGAAGGGTCTAGATCATGTCTGTGCAAAAGTTCTTCAAGCATGCCGAGACCTGGAAGCCTAGAAGAACCAGGTTCAGTGCGTGTCTGTGAACGGGTCTGATAAGCTCTAGACATATTTCAGTGAAACAATGACAGAGCAAGGAAAGAACATAAGAGCGATTTGAGTTCATATATACTGTCAGGAACGTGTCAGACGTGTATCCAGATGATCCACAGGGGCGTGCGAAGTCGTCCGGGCTCGTAAGGTTGGAGGGGTGGGACTTCAGCTTCAGCAACTCGGGTGGAGCGCTGCGCTTCATTCTTACGTTGGTGTCCCAATTTCAGACAGAAGCCTTACGATGAGGAGAAGAGTCTAGAGGGGGAATCCAAGTCAATATACGAACTGAGGTACATCCGGTGTAACCTACATGCATTATAAACACAAGTAACTAAATAGGACCAGCCCAGAAGGAGTGGCAGATCAAGCGTGATATTAATGAATGAAGAAAGAGACAAATAGTTAATATCGGAAAATTGGTCAACAAAAGGCAAGCAAGAACAATGAGTGACAAAGGAGGAACAATAGTCCGCAAGCAGACAAAAGATAAAAGGCCATCTGGCTGTCTAGCAAGCCGTCCGGCTGGCGGGTGGACAACAATGAAGTGGGCAACCTAGGTTGGAAGGTACCTGTGCAAGGGGTGTGGATGAGGGTGATGGGTGGATGGATGGATGGATGGATGGATGATGATGATAGCAGGCCAAGTGGCACTAGGACATGTTGATGGAAGTGATGGATATGTCAGGTCATGACAACATCCTCAGGTGATCCCACTCACATCATCACAAATTAGTCACCTTCCATTTATAGTACAACTGTTGTCTTCTTTCCATTCAGTCGGCTAACTTCCTCTTACCCATTTCTTGTTCCCATTCATCCTCTGGCCTTCTACTCCACCCTTCTTGACCTGACACCTCGGTTCCCCATTGAGGATATCGTTTGGGACCTTTTGGTATCATTCGGCACCTTTTGGTGTTTTCCATTATCACTCGGACTTTGACTAAAGTCCTTCTCCTTCCTCCATATATAAATACTTGTAGATTAGAACCCGTTGTACCCCAGTTCTAATCTTGACTAAAAGTTACCCCCAAGTCCCTCTATGAGTGAATCCTGACCCCCCTCCTACAAGATACCTCTGACACATGAAATAAATGGACTAACTGAGACATGACGGAGGCACAGCGCTCCCTCCGAGTCGCTGAGGCCACATCCTTCTTAGAGCCTCTTGTACCACCCAGCAGACCTGGGCTTCCTGGAGAAGCTTCAGTCCACTACCGGAGCTCTCAGACCCCCTCTAGTTGAGCCCTGCCTGCATTCAGACTCACGCATTTTCCCTACATTGGGGGTTTTTGACACTTCGGGCCTATCCCTCCTTTCTGTTTCCGGGTTATCACCTGCCATTCTGCTAACCCCATAACCCAACTTGTCAGTAATATTCAATCGGCTAATGTTTAACTCCGTTAGCTCTGCTCTGCTCGGTCCCGCCATTCACGGGCCTGCTCTCGCTGTAACTATATATATACTTAACTTGTACATAGGTTACACCTCAGTGATAAAATCAACTAGAGTTGATGCCCCTTAGTTCTCATTGCCAGTAAGTAAATTAGGGCACGGACATGTAACTTGGCACAGTGCTCCTGGCTTGAGTCACTGAGGCCGAAGCCCTCCACCATGGAGACAATTCCTTTGTCTCAATCCGGTCTCTAACACCTGCCTCCCTCTTTCAGGGTTTTTGACAGACTGAATGGGCATCACCGAGTGAATGGAGGCCATAATCGCCATCGAACCGTTACCGGAAACGGACTGCGGCATTCGCTGCATCACTTGAAATGATCCATTTGGATCCGGTCAGGTTAAATCGGCGCATATAAGTGATGTCATCAAGCAGCACATCGGCAGAAGTCGGCAATTCCAGAAACCGCACAGTCGTGATGGTTGGTTTTGGGGTGCCCACGATCACCTGCACCATCCAGCTGCACAGAAGTTTATTTTTGACCCTAGCTTCCCTAAGACACCCCATAACATGAGTAAAAACTGTATTTGACCACTGGGAATGATTAAAATTTTGAACATCTGCCAAACCGGCGTAATCCATCTGTGAGGACAATGGGGGTTCACGCCTTCCTAATCTCAGCATTATCCCAGGCAGTCATGAGGAGTGGCGATTCGTACATAGTGGGCACTGCACTTGTACTGAGATAGGGTAAGGAATGATAGATCTGATACACAAACGAGGGGAATGCATACCTCTCCTGCAGCGCAAGAAGCGCCTTGTCAACGGTCGTATCCGCACCATCAAGATCACCTCCCTCGCGCAGATCCTCAGCCTTCCTGAATGCAACCAGCGCATCTTCAGCCGATTGAAGGGGCTTATCCCATTCAGCCAAATTCATCAAACCCCGCTTCTTCCCCTTTCCTAGCGATCGATTGTTATACGCCTTCAAGCCTGCGATATATGCACTCAGCATCACGTCAAAGATGGTCTCACATATGCAGCGAAACCGGAGAATCCAGGGAAGAGGAGTTTCCATGCGGACAAAGTCAAGCATTTCCAGGCCACGCCGGAGGTGCTTCGGATCCCCATGAAAGCAGCCACGTAAAAAAGTTCGATTTGGCGCTCTTTCGTACTTGAAAAATTCGAATGCCCAGCCATCGAAGAAAATGCAGTGGATGGGTAGAGAAAAACTTTGAGCGAGGTTGCTGGCGTCGCAAGCTGTACATCTCAGATACCAAATGTGCAACCCTGAAGCGCTGGGGCTTACCATCGCCTTCGGCTATAACCTGGGCAATAGCCTTCAAACGTTCCTCATCATTCAACACTCTCAGCTTTATCTCGACGAACAGAACCGCAACAGCGCCAAAAGCTTTGAAGTAGTATTCAATGCGGCCCTGCGTAGCAATGTGACCGGAAATTGTGGTCTCTGGGTCATTCCTTAGCGTGAAAGTGAACTGCTTGACGAGGTGGTTAAAAATCTGCTGGTTGCGGTGAGCTTTTAAAGCGCGAGAGAATCAGCGTATCCTCACTGGAGAGAAGAATCTCGATCTCGCCTCTTCTGTCTTATGCTCATGAGGGGGCCCGTACTGCATTAACAAGATATCTAGGTCCATCACAATCGACTTGAAAAGATCTGTGGGAATACGAGAGCGGTGGATTTCGAAGGTTCCAATGTCTTTCAACGCATTCCCGGGTTCAAGTCCGACGAGAGGAGCGACGTCACCATACGTAACTTTGGAGAAACTAACTACCAAACCGTGTTCTACGTCGCTCGTTAGCACACCGGACCCAAGACAAAGATAGAGACAGACCTGAGTCGTCATCTTCTATTTGAACATCGAGACTAAACTGTTTCACGAGACGACGTACAACAGTCATAGCGGCATCTGGTGTATCAGGAACAGGAATGTCTGTGGACGCATCCGCTGCACCAGTGTTATCCCGTGGCCTTTTGGGTGCCATTGTGGATGTCTAAATGAAGTCTGTCCAAGAGTGGAGTAAACCTAAATCCAGTGACGCCGGAAGTTTGCGGAGGTCATGCATGTGTCACCAAAAAAAACACCAGGAAAAGTTTCAGTTCTGGCTGGAGGTATATATACAAATTTCAGCTGGAGCGAAATTTTCTAAGTACTGATAGTGCATGGGTGCGTGCACTCAAGGAGCGTCTCTATGTCAGGTGTGTTAGATTTCTTGGTATAAGACAAAATGATGGGCTAGCGATGTTGTCGCTCAGTCCCCAAGGGGGTGTCGGTAATGTTCAGCAGAAAGGTATGCCAGTTACGTGTTTTGCCGAACATCGGCCACCCCCCCCCCCCTCACGTGAGTGAACCTTCCAAGTATGGGAGGCTAATGCTTTGTAATATCCAAAAAAGGCAAGCCCTAATTATCACCGCCCCCTTGGATCACCTCTCCAATGTCTGCAGACACACTAGACAGCCTAAATCCCGGCTTTCAAGAATGTCCATTATGCAAAAACCAGGTTCATGTAGCTACCGGAGGGGACGTGAATCTTGAATTCCATATGAGTGGGGCGGAATGTTTGAGAACACAGAAAAAAGCCAAAGAACAGGAAAAAATCTCAGCCCAAGCAAAGAACTTCAGTGCCTGGTTTTCTAATCCCGCAAAAGCCAAACCAACACATTCATTCAAATTAAATCCGCCACCACCACTCCACCACAAGCCAACACCTTCCCTTAAGCCCGTGCTTAAGCCATCCCACTCAGATATCACCAGGCCCCCTATCCCTATTTCTCCTCGACCTCCTGACAGAAACACACCATTCTCTGCACTCCATGATATGGAAAAACTGAGCCCACTAGAGAGGGTGGGTGCCCTCACCATGCTCCTTCCTTCCTCCATTCCAGTTGCTCATGAAGACAATGCAATCTGGCAATTAGGGACACTGGACCCATCCTCCTGGGCTGAGACAAACTGTAGCAAGGATAGATTGGGAACTCATTAATGTGAGAGAACTAGTGTTACAAACTAGCGCTCAGTTCACAATAGTGTAACTCAATTACCAAAAATTGTTACAAACTAGTGCTAGACAATGAAAGATTGTTAAGTAAAGGTCTAATGAGACCAAGAAATGAGATCTCACCTCAGTTCATGATAGTATAACTGAGGAGAGAGAAAAACAGTTGCAATGAGTGGCTTTTAAGCCTACAATGCCACCTATCACCAAGAAAGATGGATTGGGAATAATTAAATCTCCTGCAGCTGGTGAGTCCATGCACCATAATGGTGGGATGTCGACCTTGTCTCCAATAATTAATCCGATGCTACATACCATTTTTGGATGGAATGACTCAGTTCAGATGGTCGTTGACAATGTGCAGAGGGGAGCTGATGGAGTCAAAGGGCTAGTTGGCTTTTTAGAATGGTTTGTCCATAATCGGGGCTTGAACCCTACCCTATTTGACACCAAACTTGAAAAGCTATCAGAGGCAATGCTACAATTGTAAGTATTTTATTTAACTCACCATAACACCTTCTCTGTCAGGGATCGGCCCTTGACCCTGCTGTCAGGGCACCCAACCACACAACCCCAGAACCACCCTCCCTGACTTCTCCCACTTCCCTGACCTCCCCATCTTTACATATCTCTCACAACTACAGCCCGCATGTGAGCCCGTGGGAAAAATCACGTGGGTCAAGGCGAGCAACTCGCCTTAACCCATGTGACACCTTTTCCGAGTCATGGGAACATGCTTGGCTTCTACCCATAGTCACGTTATGAACTGTACAGTACACTTCCCTTTTATAGCAGCCAAGCAGGGAATAGGGAAACTTACCCTTCTTCTCATCTCAATCCCCGCTTAGGCAAGTTGTAGCTACCCTCTGTAATACATGACAACTCAATCCCTGCTTCTTCAGTGAGTTTGAGGAGCTGAGGACAGGGTCTAGCACCCAGGTACCCGGAACATTGCACACACCTAGCCCTGAGGCTGGGCTGTCCTCGACCCCAAGCCCTGACATTCTCAAATGTGTGCCAAGCAGAATCCCCTCAATCCAGTACCATCCTCAAGGCTGTCAACAGTATTACCCCAAGATGAAAGTCCCAACCTGGTCAGTGATGATGAGGGGGATGCTGAGACAACATCGGACTTCCTAGTTACAGAGCACAGAGCTGAAAGGCTTTGCGGTGCACAAAGATTAGATATCCCTGCAAGCCAGTCACCCTACTATGTCTATCCCTTTGGCCTGCATGCTGTTCATCATGTCCCTTGGGATATTGAGATTGGGAATGACACTTTATACCTTCGCTCCCGGAAGTGTTGCAGAATTGCTGTTAGAACTGGGTGAGGGTGGACGATTCCAGAGGGGAACCGGAGACTTAGCAAGGAGGGACCTTGGCCTCAGCGACTCAAGCGGAGCACTGTGCCATTGCTGTTTGTCCATTTGGTCCTTGATTTCATAGGCAGCAAGCAGGAAGTCTCTAGAGGGCATTTCAGGTCGATTTTAGACTAAGGGCCTAAAACGAGTATGTACAAGCACTGGTATATAATGGAGAGGGCAAAAGCACAGGGAAACAAAGGGGGTCCGAATCGGAATGAAGGCGTCCGAACAGGAACAAAGGGATGACAGAAGTGGAGTGGTACTGAAGGTCATAGGGCAGAACCTGTGGTACATCCGAAAGGAGGTAGGGAGGGCAAAGCCCAGGGGCAGGAGGATGAGGTGAAGTGGGGATGATGACTAACTGGCTAGAATGGGAAGAAGCAGCAGTCCAAATAAGGATGAGGGGAAAATGCGAAAGATACATTACAAGCGGCGAAAGTGCTGAAGATGATCCATGGAGCTTGGAGATTATGGAGGTTACAGAGGTTATGGAGGCAGGGTTGAAAGTCCGAGGAATATTGGCAATGGTGTTTACATAGTATGAGGTCACCAATGCAATGGACTAAAGCTGAGGTGGAGTCAAAGTCTGAGGTAGGAACTATGACGGAATCTCGGAGTGAAGGTACAAGCGGTGTCCAAGTACAGAGTACGGGACAGTGGCAGAAGGTCATAACTTGGCAGAGGGTCAGCGGAAGAGGGTTAGAGGGAAGAGAGAGGAGAGAGGAAAGGGGAGAGGAGTGGAGGAGAGGAAAGGTGTCAGGTCCGAAGGTGAGTATCGGAGCGGACAGGAGAAGGGTAGGAGAGTGATGGAAGGGTGGAGGTGTCATGAGGAGTAAGAGGGGGAGTGAGAGGAGGAGCAGGAGGAGGGTGGCAAGAGGAGTGGTGTTCGGTCCGAGGTGAGTATTGGAGCGGACGAGGATAAGGTAGGAGAAGGACGAAAGGGTGGAGGTGGCATGAGGGGTGAGGGGTGGTGTGGTGCCAGGTCCGAAGGTGAATATCGGAACGGACGGCGGTAGGGTAGGACTCCAGAGGTGGTGAAGATGGGGGTCTGGGAGTCGGTTTGGGATCGAGTATGTATGGATATGACAATTGCAATTGGTAGCCATCCAACATGTCGTGAATGCCATGCACTTGTGGATTCCCAAGTTAGTGAAGGGAATCAAGAAACACATTGAAAATGGGACACCACAACCCACAAATCACCACCTTTGGTCATGGGGTATTCTCCATCAGGCCTTGCTATGGACACAGAAGTGATTGGCAACGCATCAGCTTCTGGTTTTCAATGCCAACATGCAGCTAGGCCGAAAGACATGGGCAATTGATGAACATAAACACCTGCTCATGATTGTGTCATCCAGAGAAGTCAAGCAAGTTGATGCGGTGATGCAGGTAGCAAAGAAGGCATATTCAGCCCAGTCCTTCACTGAGCAAGAAATGGAGCTGGGCTTACTGTTTCTTCAGCTGGGAGGAACCTGGCTGGCAAGCATCGCACACAATGCCTTTGGCACCCCACTGTCACCACACTTCGGCACAATCGACCAACAGAGCCACTCCGTATCTCAACTGGGCTCCCAACTGCTCATGAACTTCACCATAATGTCTTGGTCTCACTGGTTGCTGGGACTTTTGGTAGCACTGAGCAGCCTAGCAATGTTCATGGGGCCTACATTCTCATGTTTGACAAGATCAAGATTGAAGAAGTTTCACGATATGACCCATCCATGAATCACATTGTTGGGGTATGTTGTGAGCATAGTGACAGGTTTGCACTCGAGTATGCAAGTGCAGACAAAGCCAATTGCTTGTTTGAAGGGGTCCGGGATGGAGTTGTGCATCTGGCAGCAGAGATAAGCAATGAATTTAGAAATGATCTCATACTTATGTGAATTTGTGTTAAAGAAATGGGTTCTGGGTAATCCATTTCTTTCCGTCCTTATAGACGACTTGGAATCATCGACCTCATGTATGTAGGGTGGCCTAGTCATGTAATGAGTATCATCCGATAGCCTTGGAGCTTTTGACAGAAAGCTGGGACCTCGCGGTGAATGGGAGTCTGCTGCAACGGATACTTGGTGCTTGTTACGTGAGCATACCATGCATGGATGTATAGGATCACAAGTAAAGGGGATATCCCAAACTGGACCAGTCAAGGGCAAGAGGCTAGCAGGTACTTGGCGCTTGAGGGAGCATACTGGTAGCAAGTGATATAACAGCTCCTTGAGGGAGCTTCCTGAGGTTGGGTTGATGGGTACTTGGCACCCAGATGGGCGTACCGGCAACGAATGGGATTCCAGCTCCTTGAGGGAGCTTCTTGAGGTTGGGTTGATGGATACTTGGCACCCAGATGGGCGTACTGGCAATGGGGTATAAGACCGTTCGTTTGGCAAACAGTCTGTGTTCGTGTCAACGGGTACTTGGCGCTCATATGAGCATACCAGTGATGGAGGGGTGTCAGGGCAATAGCCCCGAACCCCGAGCCACATGTAATTAGATACATATAGTCACGTGGGTAAGTGGGAACCTCCGGGTAACTGCTTACACACTACCGTAAAATACACACATTTGTATCACTTACGGCTCTGTGTGCTGAGCTACCCCCAGAGACCTCACACTTTTTTAAGTGTATGAGGTGTGTTTTACAACACAACCCACAAAAAACTATCCACTCTTAACATCTGACTCGGTAGCGCCTATGGCGCCTAAACACGCCCGCAAGGGCAAGGTCACATCTGCAGCAATGCTAAAAAGAAATGAGCGGTTCATTAAGAAACCGCAATCTCCCATCATGGGAGATTCAAACCAAAAGCTGTCATCAGATGACGACAAGGATCAACATGATCCGGCATTAGCAACCACCTCAGGGCTGGCCCCTGAAGGTTTTAGAAACTTACGTGGAGTAAGTGCAGGGCCTAATACCCCTAGAACTCCACGACATACCGATCTAACCCAAGCTGGGGAAGATCCCTCACCTCCTCACAAGGTGATTGACTTGCGCGATAAATGTGTAAGCACCAAACGATCAGCCCAAAAAGCTGATCGGATAGAGTCACAGGAAACTCCAGGGCCCAACTATCCCCTGGAGTCCCCCCTCATGTCCCCAAGTCAAGCCCCAAAGGCAGACAAAGGGAAACAAAGGGAAGAGCCCCTGCATCAGCTATCCAAAAAACTACTGGACTTGTTCCAGGTTCCATCCAAATGGAGGACGGAAAGTGAAGACCAACTTCTTCTCAGGCTTTCAGCCTGAGAAGGCGCAAAGATATGCCCTGAGAGCAGGATCTCCCAGAGCGCGGAAGCTCCAAAAGAACTTCCGCTGTTTACACTCCCACACGCCAACCTCGGAGGCGAACTGAAATGAGGGAGTTCGCTGAGGAAGCCTTACGGAAAAGTAAGGAAAAACCAGCGAACAGACCCCTCTATGAAAGGGAAGCACCCTCCACAATGGCCTCGCCTAAACAAAGCGAGCATGGAGTGTTCACTCCAAGAACCCATTCTGGAACCCCCAGAAGCGGTAATGTCAACTGGGGAGAGTCTCTGCTCGCCCAACCAAACTTCCTCCTGGAAAACCAGGAATCGCGCATAATAAACGTGATAAACTCGATCCAAAAAAAGATCGAGGAAATGAACCACAATAGTATGGCTCGTCTAGAGATAACTCTAGAAAGAATGGCCAACGCAATCGATGTGTTGACTGAAAAAATCAGCGAACAGACAGACTTGCTGAAGGAAATAAATTTCTCACAAAAAAGTGAGGAAACAAATAAACACCCCTGGACCATGGTCCAGGACAGAAATAGAACTCGCGAAAAATTCACAAAAAGAACCACCAGTGAAAGCACACTGGAGTATCATCAGCGACTCGACAGAGATGCTAAGGAGATCCTTCTCCCAAGGATAGGAGAAGACGATGCCGAAAGAAGGCATCGTTCAGAGATTAGGAGGAGAATTGGCACATACCAAAGGTTCGGCCAAACGTCCACTTACGACGGACCTCTCAAACAGAGAGGTAACTCAAACACACACTCTCAAAACAATGAGAGAATCCAAATACAACTTCAGGCAAATTCGCCTGAAACCAAAGAAATGCTGCGAGGAAGATTTCCCCCAGCGAAAACCCCCCCAAAGGAGAGATCTCCATTGGATAGCGACCCCGCGAAGGCAGGGGAGCAAGAGGAGTACCTGGAGAAATGGTACGAAAAGGCCATAAGAATGGCCGAAGTGAGAATACTCACTCCTTACCCAGAAGGAGTGAAGCCTGAAGCCCTAAAAAATGGGCTGGCATTCCCTGACAAGAAATGGTCAGGGGAGAATGACATGGAATCGTTCTGGCAGTGGTTCACAGAACTACTGGGATTCCTCGCTTCGTGAGGATGCAAAGGTCCCCAATTTAACGAAGTCCATCTGGACTGCTTGATTTGTGGATTAGGGGGGCCCGCGTTCGACCTCGGAATAAGACTCCGAGACGAAACTCTCCTCAGAGGAGATGAGGGCATGTTCCTCGAAGTTCTCAACATATTGATGAGAACTTTCATTAAAGCCTCTGCCGCGTTGAACGTGACAAAGAAGTACCGCAACATCAAATACAAAGCGGAAAAAGGCCTAAAACAGTTCTACCTAGAACTGTCCAAAGCAGCATCCCAGATGGTGACGCCGCCAGACCAGGCGTCCTTCAACGCCAGGTTCCTAAACTACATTCCCCTCGAATGGAAGAGGGAAATGATTGCTCATGATAGAATCAGAGCAGACTTCTCCTCAATGAGGAGATGTTAAAAGCAATATCTCGTGTAGACGAGATAATCGATGGGCTGAAGACGTCTTCAGCCTACAAATCAGGATACTATACCCAAACAACTACCATGGCAACCATGAGCTGTGGTAGAGCCCTCCCATCAGGAAAGAAGGCTGAAGAGCTGAAACCCAGATGGAAAGAGGATACATCCTTGAAAAACTCGAGGAAAACTGACCAAAAGTCAGTTCCAATTTGCGGCAAATGCGGCAAAATAGGGCAAACAAAAGATTGCCCAAGACACAATGTAACGAGCAATGAAAAACCAAGGCGCATAGCCGCCATGGAGATCGTGATCACAACGGAGGAAGAGTCGAAAGACTCATCAGATGAGAAACCAGAGAACAACTCTGGTAACTCTGAAGCATCAAGCTTCGAAGTAGAGGACCCATACGAAGGACCTCAATACTCACCTGACTCAGAGGGTGAGGAAGTCAATGTTGGGACCATAAAGATGGGCCCAATGTCAGTCATCAATCACGACGACATAAATTACAAAATCAAACTGGCTGTAGCACGCCAGTTAGAAAACACAGCAGACAAAAAAGTCACCAAAGCCTTGGTGGAAGCACCAAGAAAAGATGCCTTGGGGAAATACACCAAAGTACCCAAGGAAAACAAGGACAAAGGGAAGAAGGACCAAAAGTCCATCGAAACCCAGTCCCCCTTGTTTGATGCGAAATTCCGCATCTCAAAAGATGCAGGAAAATACCCTGCAAACAGACCGCTCTCAACAAAGAGAACGCTGACAGCTCACATAAAAATAGCAGGCATAAAAGCCTATGCGCTATTTGATAGTGGAGCCGAAATGGACGCTTTATCGCCGGACTTTGTCCGCACAGTCCACATCCCAATTCTCCAATTGGAGAACCCAGTCATCCTTCAAATGGGGACGAAAGGAACAAGATCACAGATCCTGTTCGGACCAAACGTGGATGTTGAGATTAATGGCCACGTAGAAAAACACTACTTCGATGTAATTAACATCGATAGATACGACGCCATATTCAGTGCCCCCTGGTTAAACAAAAACCAGGTAAGCTTAGACTTCCGGTCCCACAAAGTGAGAACAGTGAACAAGGGCAACATAGACACCCTTGGAGTAAGCGAAGACCGTGTGATGAGATCACATGGATGGAAAACTCGAGCAAGAGCTCGAGAACAACCAAAAAAGAAGCCCCCCTGACAGGGAGGCGGGATTGAAACACACCTCAGGGTAATCGAAAGAAAGTACCCTGAAAGTTGGCCCAATCCTAGTCTGGAAGGACTAGAACTTCCAGACGTACCACATCTGGAAGGTCTCTCCATGAACAACCCCGAGTTCGAAATACTCAGGGAGTGGTGGAGAGAGAAATTCGAAACTGTAATGGCACCAGTGCCCTTAGAAATGCCTCCCTTGAGGGAGGTGAACCATTGAATCCCATTGAAGGATCCGAACAAGAAATTTCGGGAAAACACCCTGAGATGTCCTGCAGCACTGCAGGAAGCACTAGCAACCAAAATAGATCGCTATGTAAAAGCAGGATGGTGGTATCCTGCGAACAGCGAGCGAGCATGCCTGCTACTGTGTATCCGCAAAGCAGATGGATCTTTGCACACAGTAATAGACGCGAGGAATCGTAACTCAAACACGATCCTCGATGTCACACCAATGCCAGACATGCGACTGATCCAAGAATCAGTTGCCAGAGCAACATACCGATCCAACATCGATATGTCGGATGCGTACGAACAAATACGCATGGATCCAGACAATGTCCATAGGACGACATTCTCTACACCCCACAGGACGTACAACTCGAACATGATGCAGCAAGGAGACTGCAACGCTCCCTGCACCTTCCAGCGCGCACTGACCTGGGAACTATGAGGAGAAGTAGGCAGACGCCTACACATCTGGTTTGACGATATATTCACCAGCACAAGCTCGGTGGAGAACCACAATAAAGCATTATTGTGGTTGTTCACTCGCCTCAAGGGGGCGAAATTCTACATAAGCCGGAAAAAATTCCAGCCATTTGCCCCAATCCTAGACGTTCCAGGAAGCCGTGTGGATGAACAGGGCATCCATGCTCAAGTGGATAAAATGGAAAAAATCCGCAACTGGCAAGAGCCAGTAGACCACACAGGAGTCCTAAGATTCCTGGGAATGGTAGAATATCTATCGATATTCATGCCAAACGTCAATGGCTACACAGGACCACTGCAAACAATCTGCTCAAACAAGCAGACATTCAGGTGGACACCACTCCACCAGAAATGCTTCGACGAGATTAAACATCTAGCATGCAGGGCTCTGATCCTGAAGCCCATCCAGTGGAATCCAC